CCTTCGTCTGGTAAAAGACCCTCGATGACAGAGGAAGGTTTTGGCTATTGATAAGAAGAGCCTTAAAGAGGGCGGGATCAGGGATTAGTCAAAGATATTCAAGACAGATTTTGAAAACAGAAAATGAACGAATATAGCTGAAGGCAAAAGATGTGAACAGATGTATCAGGAAACAGATACTAGGCTTGTTTGAGACGCGTTGCGGCTCGCCTCGAAAGTAGACGAGAATAGCCGATCGCAGCCGGGGGAGGTCTCAAAAAGCTCGCCTGAAGTCGGACAGCTCGGAGTCGGCTTCTTCTTCTTCTTCTTCTTCTCTCGGTTATTTGGCAGATTGCAAACAACTTTAAAGGGATAGTGGAAATCCGCGAATTTTGGGTTTAACTTATGTATTTTTATTAAAAAGAAGCATATTAAACAATTTTTTTAAATTTCATCCGCCTAGTTTCATTTTATTTTCAATTTTACTGCGCCCTCTCAATGAAACGAAATACTTCGGGAATCGTCGGGAATCTTCGGGTGATGACGAGAGCTCAGGAAGACGGGCACAAACAATGGCGGACATTCAATAGCATTTGCATGTGAATAGCCGACCTTTATTATGGTGAATAGATGTGTTTTGTATGGCTGTAGTGCGACAGAAAAATTCTACGTGACACAACGACATTGGATTAACCTTGAGATGCGTTTTTATTCCGTTGAACACAACTTTTGATCACAAATCAAAAAAGGTAAGACGTAATTATTGTAATATTTTTGGAACCGGATGTTGTTTACTTTCTCTTTTCTGGCTGATAGCTCCAGGAATTCGAGGTCTTACAGTGATGATTACATGTGTGGAATCTGTGGAGTCTCAGCTTTAAATCGTATATCTTGTTTGTGCAGTTAAGATAGTAATAAGGGCATTTCTACCGTGTGTTGTGTGTAAAAAAGCGTTAGCATTAGTTAGCATTGTTTCGCTCAATGCTAATTCAAAGGCTTGGTATTACTCTTGTGTTTTTTCTAGCTAACAATTGTTCTTATTGTCAGTTAGCGGAGTTTCTTACCTTTAAAAGGGTATGAAACATTAATAGTTTCATAAATGTTAAGAAGCCCTGAGACATGTGAGAGAGAAAAAACGGTGGGATGGGTCCACTGGGGGGACCTTCGGCCTTAACTGGTTAACAATGATTAATATTTGTAAAGGCTACAGTTGATCTTAAGATGCGTGAGCTATGCTTAGGGACCTACCAGTCAAGATTATTTGTGCGTAGGGGTGCATCACCTGGCGCCTGGTCCTGGTCATCCTCGCCATTGCCCATGCCGTGAACCATCACCTCGGGCTCGAACAAATAAGGACGTAATGGTCCATCGTCTGGCTCAATATTGTCACCATCGTCGCTTACTGAACCGGATTCAGATTCAGTTCCTAAAACGACATTTTCGTAGGAAAGCCGAGAGGATGTTTCTGACTCGCTATCATCACTGGATACCTCGTACAATCCTTCTTCTTTGTCTGGTATATTTGCCCTTCCACGTTCATTCTGCATAGACGCCATGGTTTGTTATCGTATCGTCTTCCTGAGTTTTCGTCACTTCCGGTTTGGCTGAGTCGAACATTTCGTTTCTAAAAAACTTCGGGGAAGCTGCAATAAAGTGCTTCTAACATGCGTAAGGCAATTATTATATTTTTTTAATCAGGTGTGATTGTTTTGGTACGTAATTATGCTTGTATATAAGTTAAAACGAAACTATTTGAGGTTCCATTCCCACTATCCCTTTAAGGTGGAGTCGGCTTGACTCGGTTTACATTTATAAAGAATGCACACATGTGTTTAATCGTTAATGTCAGATATGTACTAAGTAAATACATTTGTTCCTGCTCAAGATTAGATTCAACTTTATTGTTATTGCACATATTACAGGTACTGAGACAACGAAATGCAGTTTAGCTTCTAACCAGGTGCAACAAGCAGTAAAGTGAAAAGTAATGTACACAATCTACAGAATAATATATATAATGAATTGAATGATGAATAAACAGTGAGGGGTATTAATACACTAGATATACACAGCAGCCTGAGAGCAGTATGAACAGTGTGTATGAATATGCTAAGATATATAAAGTATGAAAACGGTAAGCAGTGCAAGTATAGTATAAAATATATAGATATTAATTTCATGATGATAAACATTGTGGAACGATGATGAAAAATGGGAATGGATGTGGCGACGTAAAACTGACACAAAACAACAACACACTTTTGCCGAGCCAATTGGAGAGTTTCATCACCAGCACGTGGTAAAAACCACCAATGAGCGCTCAGCTCGAGATACCGGCGAGTCGTTTCCCATCAAGCATTTCGCTTCCGCAGCCCGTGGAGAGGAATTGCGCCGCCTCGCCGCGCCTCGCCGCGCCTCGCTCTCAAGGCTGCGGGCGTCTTTGTCCCGCGAGATTTCAACGTCTCATGTAGGCGAGCCTCCAGAGCAAGTCGGACAAAATGACTAACCATCATGCAACGCATGAGCAAGACGTTGATCGAAATTGCGCAGGTCTGCGCAGGTCTCGCTTGTCTCAAACAAGCCTACTAACTCCCCTTGTGTATGTACAGCTCTCAACATGCCTGGGTTGCGGTCGGATAATCCAAAAATCAGCTCCTATCGTCTACTCCTTGACCTCTGAGTGAAAGGTCACGGGGTTAAGGGATAGTGGATAGGAGAATTCAAAAGGACTTAGGAGAAGAGACTGGAGTACTTTAGAGAATCGACTGCACTTTCACTATCCGATGTGTTTATGATGCGCCAGCGGACGTCCTGAATGAGCGTCTGCTGCTGTGGGGAAACTATGGAAACTACAGTTTTCTATACAGCGGACTACAACATGGATGTTCAATAAGAACGAGGGACTCCTGTAAACTCATCTAGAGACTCTGTGCTCTGACGCTGTTGCTTTGCTTTATGAACGTGGACAACAGAGAAACAGATTCTTCATGACCAAAGCTGGAATTGAAATAAAAAAGGAAAGTGAAACTTCTGCTCGTCTCCCTCTCCCTCCGGTCCACATTAATACAAATGATCCCAATACGTATGATTGATGAAAAGATCTTAAATCAATACAGATGTATTTATTATAAACGTTAGTCCTTAACATCTATCACTGTGTATATCACCATTCAAACATCTTTTAAAAGTTGAACAAACCCCACACAGCTCAGTAAAGACTGTGAGATGTTGACTTTATTTGATCATTTCAGTAAAAACTAACGTTCATATTTCTCTCTGTGATTATAATACTGATGAACGTTCAGAACAAAGCACTTTGGCAACTTACCACATACGTTTTAAAATGCGTAATAAGCACCGTAACTTTCATGATATCATTTATCCGTCCTAGGCCCCGTCTCAGGTCGGTTAAATGAATTCCTTGAGTCCCTCACTTGCGTCGTTTCCCTGCGTTTAGTCCCTCCCACCAGGGAAGCATGGAGGGACGCAAGGAAACCACGAGAAGCAGGAAATGAGTTTTTAAGAGCAATGGGACGTCCTTTCCTCCGGAGCGTCATGTGAAGCGACGTCCATTTGTGATGACGCCGCACAGCTGACAGCAGCCAGCTCTGTACCTTATATATACAGTCTATGCTCTGTCCCCGTTATTTCCACACCCCCTCCCCGCCTCTGTTAGTACACATTTACTTACACAAACATTTGTATCATCTGTTGTAGACCCCAATAAATCAAATCAAATAAAAACTCATTCTCAAAAAAGATAAACGCCATTCTTAAAATGTAAAAACGAACAATAGTTAGATTAATATTGATTAGAGTGCACAAAAGAAATAAAATAATTGAGAGAAGAAAAATAGATATGTTATCTATCAAAACCCAGTTAGATTAACATTCATTGGATTGCACACTTTGTGTGTTTGTGTGGATATGTAGCACATTAACATATTAATAGCACTTAATGACTGACTGACTGGAAATGACAATAAATGAAAATATAAAACGAAAAAAGCGATCATGAAAATGTTTCCAATAAATGAATAAAATGATTTTTGACCACTTTCAAATCAAATCAAGTTTTATTTACGGTATATAGCACATTTATAAACGAGTACTCCACTACAGATCAGAGGTACATGGTGTACTTCTCCTCCACTACATGTATTTAATACCTTTAGTTACTTTACAGATGTGGATGAATGATGTGAAATATAATCAAGTGTTAAATCAGACTTTAGTTCCACCTGGAGTAAATCCACCAGCTACCCTGCAGTATACAAAGCCATTCAAACTAGCTGCACCTTTACCAGCTTTGAGAACACTTTCATGATCAATCATTATAAAACATATATAATAAAAAAAATGTATTATCAGAAACAAAAACATTTTTCCCAATGTTTAAAATCTGTCATACCAGTCCCATATTTATATTTATTATTATTATTAATATTATTATTATTTTTATTATTATTATTATTGTTATTATTTATTTTAATACCGTGAATTGCTGTTGAAAATAAATACTAAAATCTCATGATGCATTGCTTTCAATATACATATATTATAATACATATTTATAATATAAGAATAGTTGAAAAGAATAATGTATTTAATTCTTAATTGTATCATTCTTGCTTTAGTAAAAAATAAACATTTCTTTATATTTTTTTCAAGTTAGTTTTTGTGATTTCATTATAAATTATATTTTTTTATTTGATATATATTTAATTATTATTTTCTTATTTCAATATTTTTTTTATTTTTACATTATTTTATTCTTACTTTTTTATTTTCTTATTTTACTTCTTATTTTATTATATTTGTTATTTGAAAACACTATTATATTAATAATAGTATTTTTTTTTATTATGTTATTATTATTATTTTTTGTCCAATTCTTGTTTTGTCCCTCAGAATACAAAGTCATTCAAACTAGCTGCATCTTTACCAGCTTTGAGAACACTTGATCAATCATTATAAAGAAGTATTATTACAAACAAAATCCTTTTCCACAACTTTTAAAACCCGTCTGACCGTTTCATCTTTACATATATATTATTATTATTAATATTGTAATTATTATTTATTTTAATAGCGATAGTGTTTTCAATGTTTTCACCAGAGGGGGTAGTGAAATGATGTTTAAAAGAAAAACTCTAATCCCATGATGCATTGCGGCCGTTCGTTTCTAGCTTCCGGTCCTCAGAAGCTACACGTTGCTAACAGACGTTGATGCAGATGTTATACCGAATGTAATGTGTTTAAGAGACTTTTAAAACACATACAATGAGCTAGTTTATCCTTGGAGGGTGATTTATCCGTTAAACCGTGTTTTTGTTGCCTCCCGTTCTTTGTTCGTAGCTTTGTATACCACGTGGCTGATCGGTAAACACAAGTAAAGGCATTAAAGGGAGATTAGTGTGTTTTAACGGCAGTGTTTTATCAAGGAGAAGAAAGACTGAGGAACCAGGACGAAGAGGAGAGAGAGGGTAACATCTCTCTTGTGTGTGTGTGTGTGTGTGTGTGTGTGTGTGTGTGTGTGTGTGTGTGTGTGTGTGTGTGTGTGTGTGTGTGGTGTGTGTGTGTGTGTGTGTGTGTGTGTGTGTGGTTGTGTGTGTGTGTGTGTGTGTGTGTGTGTGTGTGTGGGTGTGTGTGTGTGGGTGTGTGTGTTGTGTGTGTGTGTGTGTGTGTGTGTGTGTGTGTGTGTGTGTGTGTGTGTGTGTGTGTAGTGTGTGTGTCGTGTGTGTGGTGTGTGTGTGTGTGTGTGTGTGTGTGTGTGTGTGTGTGTGTTATGTGTGTGTGTGTTGTTGTGTGTGTGTGTGTGTGTGTGTGTGTTGTGTGTGTGTGTTCTAGGTGGAACTAGTCTGATTTAACACTTGATTATAATTCACATCATTCATCCAGATCTGTGAAGTAACTAAAGGTATTAAATGCATGTAGTGGAGTAAAAGTACCATTTATCTCTGAACTGTTCTAAATGTACAAAGTAGCATTAAATAGAAATACTCAAGTAAAGTAAAAGTACCTCCTAAATGGTACTTAAGTACAGTTCTTGAGTAAATGTACTTAGTTACTTCTCACCTCTGCTATGACCAGGCTTGGAATTTCCTCATTTTAGGGGCAAGGCCATTTGGCCTTCCCGTTCACATTTTTTTTCAAGGGCACAAAGGCCACATGACAGGGCACAAAGGCCACATGACAGGGCACAAAGGCCACATGAGAGGGCACAAAGGCCGTTTGGTTAAATTACGCTGGTGAATCAACATGACTGAAAAGTGTAGCACTACGTTAGCGCTATCCAAACTAGCTAGCTATCGCTAGTAGGGGTGTAACGGTACACGTACCCGTACCGAAATTATTCGGTACGGGCCCTTCGGTTCGGTACAGGTGTGTACCGAAGTGTACCGAACGAATATAACGTTAAACGTAAAACATTGAGAACGTGAACAACTTTTTGGAAGTAATCTCAGGTGCTGCGTCGCAGCATTCAGAGTAATTTGCTCACATTGGGTTCAACGCGTCATAGAGCGAGCAAGTCATTTCATTGGATGAGAGGCATACTATGAGAGCTGGTCAGAAGGATGCGTTCATATGTAGTCAGTAATTTGAGGAACTGTCGAAAATGAATGGCGAACGCAGATAAAGTTGAGCTCGAAAATCCTCCAGCATCATTGAAGTCTCCGGTTTGGGAACAGTTTGGTTTCGCAGTTACGTACAAGGATGAAGGACAAAGACAGGTGGACCGAACCAAAGCTGTTTGTCGGCATTATTCAACTAAAATTGGTTACGCGGCTGGCAATACATCAAACTTGCACACTCTTGAAAAGGCATCACCTGAACGTGAATATCACCGGTACCAAAAGAAAACAGACTGAAGTGCAAACCCAACTCCCGCTAGCATTTAAGCCTCCACCACTCGCAGAGAGTTCAGACCGAGCCAAAGCTATTACAAACGCCAAATATCCTTATGTTGCCATGGTAGCAAAGCGCTACCTGGCTGTACCTCTGTCCCTAGCGAGAGGGTGTTCTCCACAGCAGGAGACATTGTTAGTGCCAGCAGATCTGCCCTTTCGGCAAGCAATGTGGACAAGTTCATCTTTCTTTAAACAACATGAAAATACAATGACAAGCAAGTCCTAATGTCAAGCTGGCTGCTTAGGTACTAGCACAGTACAGTTCAAATACAGATTATTGAGTTCATCGAAAAGCTGCACCTTAATGTTTATTTTATTATATTTTGTATTTATTTGAGTGAATATTCACAGTTTAATAATAATTAAAAACCCAAAACTAATAGTTTATGTTTTGTGAGTACTAGTACAGTAAAGTTCAAATACAGATTATTTCAGTTAATCGAAATGCTGCACCTTAATGTTTATTTTATTATATTTTGTATTTATTTGAGTGAATACATTATTCACAGTTTAATAATAATTAAAAATATATATATATATATGTTTTGTGAAAAAAAATTCTGCTGTACCGAAAACGTACCGAACCAAACCGTGACCAAAAAACCGAGGTACGTACCGAACCGAAATGTTTGTGAACCGTTACACCCGTAATCGCTAGTTTTCATGACAAAATATAACGAGTCGACTTTAAATAGGCTAATACAATGGTAATTACCCATCAATAGTACTTTCTATAAACACGTAAATGTTAAGTCCTTTCAAATACTACCACATACTTCAGTTAAATCATATCAAAACAGCTTGGTCCGCTTGCTTACCTGTGCTTGTCTTGCTCCCGCGGCTGAGGAGGAGGCTGTCGGGCCCCTACAGGCATTTCTGACGGAACAATCACAGCAGAGCAATCGCTCTGATCCACAGGGCACAGGCATCGCCCGGGAACTATCCTACTGCGCGCACTAATATGACTTTACTAGCGTTGTTTACACTGGAACTTTTGACAGGGGCACCAAGGCCACTTTGGCCGTGAATTGCATTTTTTTTCACAGGGCATCACGGCCAAAGTGCGGGGCAACGACGGCCATGGCTGTCGTGGCCGTCGTGAAATTCCCACCCTGGCTATGACCCTACAAAGCCGCATATTTGTTTCCTTGTGTTTATCAGTTGTATTGAGTTGTCTTGTTTTGTGTCAGCTGTAGTTGTGTTAATTATTTCAGAGACCCAGCCGGAGAAGGAGCACTGAGAGCAGCATGGAGGAGAATAAAAAGACCCCTGGAGCTCAGGTCAGTGTGCACTTCATCACAATATATTCCTAACACATATTCTCTGTTCAGAGCAGGTCCCAGATGATGTTGTTGGACAGCCTCTCAGGTCATTATGGTCTGCTGAGTCAGGAAGTCTCTGACAGGGTGGACCAACAATCTCTGAGCAGATTATTAACAGCTGGAGCAGTTTTGATTTCAAAGCTGTTGACAAACACTTGTACCAGGTAGCTTTGCAGAACTGCAGAACAGACACAATCACAGATGTAAAGTAGGGCAGCATGATTTGGGGAAATAATCTAATTGCGATCTTTCTGACAGATATTGCGATTTGATTTGCAATATTTATTTTTAAGCAACCCAATTGTAAAATGCGGCTATATCTCCGGCTAGGAAGGTTGTATCAACGTGCTCCCGTCTCTAGCACCCCTGCAGACCGAGCTACGAGAGAAAGAACTACACTTACATGAAACTTCCGTTGGGTTGCTTTAAAGTCAAGCTTCAGTTTCAGATTCACCCTGTAATAGATGTAAAACATGTGAGCATTACTAACCTGACTCAGATGGTTTGATTCACCAAACCATCTAGGAAAGCTCCATTGGATCGAGCTAGCTGACCGCACCTCCCATAGACTAGACAGGACCCGAGAATTGTTGGGGAAAACGTGAGGTGGTGGCCTCATTATATACACTAAGGATTATTGGGGCACAATCACTGTGAGTAACCTCTGTTCCCCGAACCTAGAATTTATGACAGTTAAATGCCGACCTAGATACCTTCTGAGGGAGTTCAATGTTGTATTGATAACTGCAGTATATATTCCACCAGATGCCAATGCTAGCGCGGCGCTAAGTCAGCTACATGATACTATTAGCAGTCAACAAAGCATGTATCCTGAGGCTGTCCACATCATTGCGGGGGACTTTAACCATGCCAACTTAAAGATAGTGCTTCCAAGACTCTACCAGCATGTTAAATGTGCCACGAGGGGGGTTAAAACACTGGACAAGGTCTACACTAATATTAAAGGGGGGCTACAGAGCTAAAGCGCTAGCGCACCTAGGCCAGTCAGATCATGTGTCCCTTCTCCTAATTCCGGCCTACTCCCCCATCAGGAAAAGTGTTTCCACCACTATAAAGACAATTAAAACCTGGCCTTTAGACGCCACTCCACAGCAGCAAGACTGTTTTGAGAGAACCGACTGGGGTTTTTCCGAACATGAGGACCTGGAACAGTACACATCAGCGGTCCTGGGATACATCAAGCACTGTTCAGACTCCGTCACTGTGGATAAGCGCATCCGGGTTCATCCCAACAAGAAGTCGTGGATGACTGGAGAGGTGCAGCGCCTGGTCAGGGAGAGGGACATCGCCTTCAGGACTAGTGAGAGGGAGCTGTACAGCACTGCCAGAGCCCACCTGAAGCGGGGGATCAAGCGGGCCAAGATGGATTACAAGGGGAAGATTGAGGACTGCTTCCGGGGCAACGACTCCAGGCGGGTGTGGCAGGGGCTCCAGCAGATGACCAACTACAAACCCAGCCACCCCTCGACCGACGGGGGGGACCCTCAGCTGGCGGGGGAGCTGAACTCCTTCTACGCCCGCTACGAGACGGGGCTATCGGAAGCAGCCACACCATTACACCCACCTGCCCTCAGCAGCCTCATCCTCACGGAGCACGAGGTGAGACGCACACTGAAGGCAGTGAACCCGAGGAAAGCAGCGGGGCCGGACGGAGTCTTGGGACGGGTGCTGAAAGACTGCGCTGACCAGCTGGCGGGGATCTTCACCAACATCTTCAACCAGTCTCTGTCCCAGGCCGTCGTCCCATCCTGCCTGAAAACATCCACAATCATCCCAGTGCCGAAAAAGAACAACATCGGCTGCCTAAATGACTACCGTCCAGTGGCACTCACCTCCACCCCGCTAAAGTTTTTGAGAAGGTGGTCCGTCCCCACATCGTCTCATCCCTCCTTCGCGGTCTGGACCCCCACCAGTTCGCCTACAGGACCAACAGGTCCACTGAGGACGCAATCGCCACAGCTCTCCACTCTACCCTGTCTCACCTGGAGAGTAGGGGGAGCTACGCACGGATGCTCTTCGTGGACTTCAGCTCGGCATTTAATACCATCCTCCCTGACAGACTGGTGACCAAGCTATCAGTCCTGGGAGTATCCCATTCCTTGTGTTTATGGATTAAGAACTTCCTGTCTGATCGCCCCAGAGAGTGAGGATAGGCACCCACACCTCCACCTCCCTCAGTCTCAGCACCGGGTCACCACAGGGCTGCGTGCTGATCCCCCTACTATACGCCCTCTACACCTATGATCTCGTACCCGCCCACACCAGCAACTCCATCATAAAGTTAGCTGATGATACCACCGTGGTGGGCTGCATCTCAGGGGGTGACGAGACTGCGTACATGGAAGAGGTGGAGCAACTGTTAGCGTTGTGTAAAGTAAACAACCTGCAGCTGAACAAGCTGAAAACCCAGGAAATGATCATTGACTTTAGGAGCAAGAAGACCGACATGCAGTCCCTGTACATTGATGGAGGCTGTGTGGAGAGAGTCTCAGTGATCAAATTCCTGGGCGTTCACCTGGTGGAGGACCTGTCCTGGAGGACCAACACCACGGCAACCACCATGAAGGCACAGCAGAGACTCTACTTCCTGAGAATACTCAAGAGATACCACCTCAGACAGGACCTGCTTGTGTCCTTCTACAGGGTTCCCGCGGGGTCTTAAAAAGTCCGGGTGACGTTTGGGTCTACGTCAACCCTAAAAGCGGAGTTGCTGTAGACGCTAAATACCGTAGCTAAACACCAATTATAAAACGGACAAGTCAAATCAAGCAATCTGATTGGTTCTTAGCCGTGATATACTGAGCGTATACCACGGGTAGACTTGTAAGTTACTTTTCACAACAAGTCAGTATCGCTCCGCGTCTTGAGTAAAACAGTATACCGTTGGTGCTTTTCAAACTGGAACAAGAAAGCAGCGGAGAAGTAACGGGGCAGAAACCCTCCTTTTTACGCAGCGGTCCAGACATAGACATCAAACGGCAAAACATAGGCCTATTCAGTGTGCAGTTCCTTTGGCATTATGGTGGGATATCTAGATACTTTCCAAGGTTTGACATCATGAAGTTTGCTACTTTTAAAGCAAGCAACAATGTTTTCAAATCTGTAATCAAAGAGGTCCGCAAAAACACTATCGACCAATCAGATTGCTTGATTTGTCTTGTCAGTTTTATATATTTCCATTTCTTCCGTTACGAAACAAACTTACAAAGCATAAGATGGAAACATTTAAGATTAACTTCGACCTCCGGGGGGGTCTTCTTACTATGGAGGAGTGGATTGAGCAGTGCCTCTCTCCAGAAAAAAAAAAGCACCTAAACGACGACATGCAGAGCTACGTGAAGAGCAGGTAGACCAACTGGAAAAGTACCACCATTCAAAAGCTTTCTGATGCGGGTCTTGAAACAAAGCAGAGAAATTATGACAGTTAGTGGCCACAGGTGCGAAAGCTCTCTCCAGAGCTACTGGAAGCCAAATCTCGGGGACCGGAGAAAGTGGAGCAATATTCCGCTTCGCGTCGGGCCGAACCACGCCCCTTAGCTGTGATATAATGTATGGAATGCCATTTAAGCCAATATTAAATAAATAAATATATACATAAATAATTAAATAAATACATATATATATAAATATGCCTATGAAATAAATTATAAAATAAATAAATTAGGCAATAAATATGTATACATGTACATTTAAATACACATTTATTTATTTCATGGGGCTTTTATTTCATAATGACACATTTATTTATTTGAAGAGACTCGTATTTCATAATGACATATTTATTTATTTCAGATGACTTGTATTTCATAATGACGCGTTTCTTTATTTCAAGAGACTCGTATTTCATAATGGCTTATTTCATGTGACTTGTATTTCATGATGAGACATTTCCATTCCTTATATGCAAATGAACGGGGCGTGGTTAGCTCACAGGTCCAGAGACCCAGACCAAAGCAACAGCACCACACTGACTACTCGAGAAGAGGAAGAAAATGGAGGAGAAGGACTATAAGGCAAACTACTAAATGAAAATAACAAAATGGAAGACGTCGGTGGGCTCCAAGACTTAACTGGTTCTTATCTGGTATTCTCTGGTCTTATCTGGTCCGCCCAATGCTGCTCTTCTGAGAGCAACCGCTCTGACAGCTCTCTCTAGTCTCTACTGGGAAACAGCTAAAAGTCCTTCTGGAGGTAAGCAACGCTACACAATTACACCCAGTCTGAGAGTAAAATATGTCTCGAAGGTTCGTTTTGCTTTCTTACAACGTTAAGTTAATGTTAACGTAACCTTACGTTTGCTAGGAGGCTATCGTTACGAGCTAGCTGTCTTAGCTAACAACAGTTAGCAGCTAACGTTTTCTGCAGTTTGTGTTGCCCCTGAAAAACGTGATGTAGTTATTTAAGGGTATGTTAAATTAACGTTATTTTACAAGTTGAGAGAGTTAAGTTGTGTTTAAAATCGTCAATGTAATGCATGTTAGAGGTTTTGTGTTGGACATGAAGTTAGCTAACGTTAGCTAACTCCACCAGGTTAGCATGTTAAGCTGTACTTTTTGTGGCAGCTAGCTTAATACTAAGAGGGGTTTTGTGCTTCATTGCAAACTTTTCTTTGTTAATCTACCTGAAACTGTAGGGACAGTTTGTTTCTACTCAACTATACAGACCATTGTTGAGGAGATGCAAAACATACTGTACATGAGTTGGGTCCAACATATACCTTGAGTAATGTTACTTTGCTGTTAAAAATGAAACATCATTATCAGATGAGGACATCACCAAAGTGTGTGAGCCTGTCAGGGGATTTGATCTGTTCTCTGCATGTCCTAAACACTGCTCTGGTATTACTTATCTTATAACATGTAAGTCTCCCGCTCTTGTCATCGTTCAGGCTTTGCATTTGAACTCCTATGACTGGTTGCGGACTTGAAGGGAACGCCTTCCTGACATCCAGGAAAAAGGTGAGATTATAATACATTTGAATGCCAAAAGCAAGTTATTGTTTTTAACTTTTGAAATATGATTGTTTTGGGGCATTTCAGTTTTATTGGACAGGCAGTAGAGATCTACTGGAAACAGTGGAGAGGGAGGAGATGATATGCAGCATACGGCCCAGCCGGATGGTTGCTGCTCCGTGTGGAACGTGTCCTATCAGGTAAAGCACTTTGGTACCCAGTTATTTATGGTGTTGAGTTTGAATTTAGCTTTTGGAATGTAATTTCCAACTGTGCATTGTAAAGACTGAAAAAACAGCCTCAGGTTAAAGCTTGACATGATTTGGTCTTTTACTTAAGAAGATGTTTGTCCTCCTGTGTTGTCTTATTTCCTTATCTTTCTTTCAGGTGTAACATCTACCAATGGTTGTACATGACAGAGACCTCCTCCGCCTCTTTGCTGTCTTACTAGTCAATCCTTCTGATCAGGTCCTTTCCTAAATAGTGGTAAGTTTTACAGTTCAGTGTACGTTAATTTAGTAACTTAATGCTTTACCGCTGTTGAATAAATCCTATATTGCTAGTCATTTTATTAAAACTACGATTTGTAAACTTTTTGATTCCAATTACAATAATCTTTTTGTTATAATTGTAAAACATATCTTAACATCCATCAGCAATCAATACAACAAATCATCCAACACTAAATGGAAGAAATCTGGACCTATTTCTTTTGATACAGCAGCATGTTTTGGGACTGCTCATTGATGTCATCAAGAGCCATTGAGTCTACCTTTTGTAGTCGGCCTCTCAGAATGTTTAGCATTTATTTGTATTTTAACATTCCTATAATAATTAGTTTTTTTATTGTTTTGTTCTTTATTTTTGTTGTGAGAATCACTTTGCAATTATTGTGTAAGTGCTATATAAATAGTTATACTAATATTATTGTTGTTACTATTATTAATAATGTCTTCTTTGTTTTCTTTATTCATCGCTGCAGAAAGGATCATGCCAGCCCACATCAAACACCTGATCAAGAGCTTGTGAACCTCACTGCTGCAGACACCTGTGTGATATTCCACTCTGACTGGAACCCTCAAAATGACCTGCAGGTACAATATATATATATATATATATATATATATATATATCTGCTCTGTCCGTCCTAAAGATAGTTCAATAGGGCTACAACAACAACAGTCTTTCCGTTTATTCCCTCGGTTCTTTAAGTGTATATTTTCCCATTTAATGCTTAAAAACGTTGAACAGCAGCTGCACATGATGCTCTGTTGACCCCTCTTTTAATTTTGTATTTCAGGCTCAAGCTCGGTGTCATCGTTTTGGCCAGTCTAAGGCGGTGGAGGTGTACCGTCTGATCACTAGAAACTATGAGAGGGAAATGCTGGATAAAGCTAGTCTGAAGCTCGGGCTGGACCGTGCCGTCCTGCAGAGCATGAGTGGCAACAACAACGGGGTGAGAAAAAGAAAATCTGTCATATTTCTAGATGCCAAGTCATTTTTGGGTCAGTCGCTGTTGCAGTACGCTTAGTTTATTTTCAAAAAGAGTTTTCTAAATCCACTTGTGTAAATGTCTCTCTGCGTCGCCTTTAGCCGGTCCAGCAGTTCTCCAAGAAGGAGATCGAGGACCTGCTGAGGAAAGGAGCCTACGCCGCCATCATGGACGAGAACGACGAAGGCAATCGCTTCTGCTAGGAGGACATCGACCAGATCCTGCAGCGAAGAGCCACCATCAACACCATCACCAGGTATGTTCTTAGCAGCACTAGCCACTTGCGCTTTGTGTTGGTAACCAAGTACTTGGTTATTTGAAATGTAATATTGATGATGTAATAATTAAAACTAGGGATGGGTACCGAGCCCCAGTAATTAACGGGGCCCCGGGGCTGAATTATTAAAGACCGTGGTACCGTTAACGTCCGATGTTATCAATCTTTTTATCGTTACGGGAGACATTTAAAAAATAGATGTCATATGTATTATATCTACATAAACATTATATCGCAGTCTTACTGCAACTCCGTTTATAATATGCAATAAGACTACAAAGTGCGTCTATGATTTATTTTCGATCTTTCCAATCCAGACGAGATCTCTCTCCCCTGTCGGTGTGCGAGGGGGTGGGGCAGTTTACACACAGAACCTGCTACATGCATGCAACAAACACACACACACACACACACGTGCGCACACAAACACATGGCGGAGAGAACTAAGCGCCCCGAGGGTAGTTATGTTACCCGTCTTGAGCATGGATGTATAATAAGAACTGGATACAGCGTCGGAGGAGGGGTCTCGTTCTTTCCTATGAGAGCTGCTCATTGGCGCATGAAGTCAAAATGGCCCAACTTTTGAGAGAGCGAAACGTCACAGATTACCCGTCATGCCTGGCTCTCAGAGCAGAATAACCCGTTTGTGCGCTCACAGAGCATGCGCCCCTTAAGCCCCGCCCCCCGAGCACACACTCTCGGCTCACTAGAAAGAATGGAGAGAGAGAATAAATCTAGATTCGGCTTTTAGTGCATTTTACAACTTTAAGAACTTAATGATTCTAGGGCTATACAATAGATCATACTGGGTAGTTTATTTAGTTTAAAAAAAAGTATCCACCGAGTTACAGACGTCTCTTTCCCAATGTTAGTAAATGGGAAAAAGTATTTCTGGGCCGGTCGACGTCACAGACTGATAAGGAAATTGTAGTACCGCCGTTTGGACACAACGAATATTTTCCTCAGAGTCCGGCACACTTCCTGGGGGCTTGGTCTTGAGGTGGAAAATGCTCGTTGCCAATAGTGCAATAAGAATTTAGCATGTAAGGGCGGTAACACAAGCTATGTGTCTAAACATTTAGCAAAAGTGCTCCACATTCAGAAGGAGGAATGCACCGGGTTCGACTGTCTTTCTAGTAGCTCTGTAGCCCCATCCACGAGTAACGTTTCCACGTCAGGTATATATTATGTATGCTAGCAGCAACACACAGAGTTAACTCAATGATACAAACATGGGTTAATGATTAGAGGTAACTGAGTTATTTATTTTGTTAAAGTTACAGCTATTCTGTTTGCAGTTCTATCATCACATAATTGAATAAGATTTGTTAAAACATTGTTGTTTCTTATTTTCAGTTTGCTTCAAGCAGTGGCTGCACGAGAAAGACGTGGAGGACCAAGAAATGCTGGCCAGATTGGCAAAGACCGGAAGATACATAACAGAGAAGATAATGGATATTAACAAGAAAAAGAAAAAAAATGTTTATAATTTCTTTGTTGCTGTTTACATTTTGAATTATATTTGTTATTTTTAAATCAAATGCATCTTTTTTAGATGATATATTTATTTAGATGTAGGTTTTTTTTTGTAATATTATTGTATTAAGTATAATTTATTAAATAAAAATACTGTTATGAACACTATACAATGTCTTTATTTTGATAGTTACCAGAATACATTGTATATTTAATACTAACATAAGCTGGTGATAGATAAATGCTGGTCTGCTGGTATGCCAGCAGACAAATATTTATAAAGACAGGGTATGGCTGGGGTAGGCTACACCCATACCAAGAAATAGCTTAGCCCCACCATGAAAAATGATGTTAAAGTAAGCAAAATAAAGTCTGCCAACTTGTGCGGAGTAAATTGCACAGACAGCAGTTGGTCAAATTGATTTCAGTAGCCACTTGTCTGGAAATACGGAAGACCAGAAACGGTTTTGAAAACTTTTGTCACGTAGTGATCGTCTTCCCAATAGAACATCTTTGATAATGTCTTCTGGCCAATCAGAATCAAGATAACGGCGTGGTGTTGTTGCAGGAAGTCCCGACGGAGAATACTTTAGCTGTAGTACAGGGGTGCACATAACTGGTACGCAGGTTATGTGCGTAATCTGAAATGCGTACCGTCACTTGTGTCACAAAGCACATTTGCGTACCGACGTACTTGTGAAGCTTTTCCAGAAGGCGGTTAGATCACCGGACGACAGAGTCGGTCTCCGTGTGCACAGACAGGGCTGCTGTTAACGTCGGTCTGTACAATGGAATTGTGCCAAAATTACCCCAACCGGCTGCGGAGGGAGACTCCCCCCCCTTCACTGGAGAACTGCGCTAAAACAGCTGATCACAACGTTCACACTCTGTGGTCACGAAGTACTCCACTCCACTAGCGCCCCCCCTGTCGACTTTCCTGAAGTTTCTAAGTAAGATAGAAATCTATCAGTAATGAATTAAGACCCCACTGTTTGATGATTGATAGGTGCTCTCTTTCATTTTGACACACAGAATTTTTTTTACAATAAACGTATGTTAAATGGATATATCCGCCTTCTTTCATTTATCTTTCCATTCCCACAACAATATACATAAAGAAATGACATATTTTGGACATAGTTCGAATGGTGATTAATCATGATTAATTAATTTTTAAGCTGTGATTAATCTGATTAAAAATTGTAGTCGTTTGACAGCCCTAATTTATTTATTTTTGGATTAGATCATAGATACGTCCATGAGTTAAGAGATGGAATGATATGATGATTCACACATGTACAGTAGGTGGCGGTATGCACCTTAAAGTTGTTTGCAATCCGCCAAAAAACCGAGAGAAGAAGAAGTCAACTGGTTTGCCAACGGACAATTTACACCGAAGAAGAAGAAGCGAACATTTCTGGCGGGTGAAATTTAGAGTATCAGATTACATGCGATTACATTACTCTGAGAATTTAGTAGTTTGCTTTATAGTCCTTCTCCATTTTCTTCCTCTTCTCGAGTAGTCAGTGTGGTGCTGTTGCTTTGGTCTGGGTCTCTGGACCTGTGAGCTAACCACGCCCCGTTCATTTGCATATAAGGAATGGAAATGTCTCATCATGAAATACAAGTCGACATGAAATAAGCCATTATGAAATACGAGTCTCTTGAAATAAAGAAACGCGTCATTATGAAATACAAGTCATCTGAAATAAATAAATATGTCATTATGAAATACAAGTCTCTTGAAATAAATAAATGTGTCATTATGAAATAAAAGTCCCATGAAATAAATAAATGTGTATTTAAATGTACATGTATACATATTTATTGCCTAATTTATTTATTTTATAATTTATTTCATAGGCATATTTATATATATATATGTATTTATTTAATTATTTATGTATATATTTATTTATTTAATATTGGCTTAAATGGCATTCCATAATAATGAGCATATACCACGGCCTGTCGTGAGCTATTGCTTAATCATACAACAGCAACTATGAAAGACACACACACACACACACACACACACACACACACACACACACACACACACACACACACTCACACACACACTAGGGCTGCTCGATTATGGCAAAAATCATAATCACGATTATTTTGGTCAATAATTGATATCACGATTATTAAATACGATTATTCATTGACTTTGAAAGCATCCATTTATTGAACTTTAAAACAAATAATGATTTGAACAGTATCTTTTTAACTGTGGATCACCCTGAACGTATAATTCAACTGAAAAAACAATACTAAATTAAATAAATTATACATTTAAATAAATAATATCAAAATAATAGATACCAATAAACAAGATCAACACATATTTTGGAGCGCATTTCCACAAGCTATTAAACATATATAAATATGATGAATAAAAATAAATTAGACTAAAATTAATTAGATCAAATATGTTGTAGTGCACTGTCACAACCTAGCAAAGCTCAATTCTGTTTTTTTCGATTATGTTGTTTTCGTAATTGTGGCAGGCTAAAATCGTAATTGCGATTAAAATACGATTAATTGCACAGCCCTCACACACACACACACACTTTTTGTCTAACACGCTAACACAGTTCTGTACTGTTATGCTGTTATGTTCAGTAATTGTTCCTATGTTGAACACGAATACATTTACTTTATAAGTAATTATGGGACGTATTTCTTCTTTCATAGCAATTTTCCTTCTTACTTTCTTACCGTGAAATAGGTCTTAAATTCTATTCAAAGTGGTCTTAAAAAGTCTTACATTTGAGTAGGCGAAACCTGCAGGAACCCTGTTCTATCGCTGCGCCGTGTAAAGCACCCTCACCTACTGCATCTGCGTGTGGTTCCTCAGCTGCACAGCCGCAGAGAGGTGTGCGCTCCAAAGGGTCATCAACTCGGCCCAGAAGATCATCGGTTGCCCCCTCCCCTCCATGGAGGTTCTGTACAGCTCTCGTTGCCTTAAGAAGGCAGTCAAAAGGATCAAGGATCCACACCACCCGGGTAACAAGCACTTTGTTCGGTTGCGCTCAGGCAGGCGTTTCTGTACCATGTCTTCCCGGACAAACAGACTCAAATTCAGATTTTGTCCCCAGGGCCATATGTGCACTAAACGCTGCTAATATTTAAATTATATAAGCCTTCCGTGCAATACGAGGGGAATCGTGCAATTTTTAAAGTGGACCTATCATGCTATATTTGAATAATATAGTGTAAGTAAGACCATACCTATGTAAGGCATATTTATACTTTTAATTTTTCAAAATACCAAACCGATCATGCATTTTAGCCATTCCTCATTTCACTCAATTTAACACGGTCTTTGCATGGGCTGATTCTGTGAGAACAGCACCATCTACAGGCCTGGCATATGCACTACAGCGTCTCCAGCGCTTTCGAACGGCAATGTCCGTGGCTGTCTCCTCCTGATTGGTGGAGTTGGCCCAATAGCCGTAGCTCCACTTCTGTGACATCATAGAAGTGTTCAAATCTGGATCAGTCTGTATCAGATCCGTTGCAGCCCCTTTTTAAGAGATTTGGGTATGGAGGAAAAGAGAGAGGGTTGTGTTTTCTGACACTTAGTGAGTTCCCTGGAACACCTGGGACCCATATTCATGTATAAAAGACGTACAAAAGTGCATTTTGCATGATAGGTCCCCTTTAATTTATTATGTATTTATGTACATATTCCCTATCATGTCTATTTATGTCCCATTTCTTGTTTTTATAGTGTCTTGTTGTTGCTGCCTGTTGGCACCTTGAGTTCATTTTAATTTTGTTGTACCTGTACAATGACAAATTAAAGATCTATCTAAATTACAATAGTGCAGACACACCTTAGTGCAAAGATAAAATGTCGGTATCAAAACAGTGTGGCAATATAATAACAAACTGCCAGGTGTGTTGTATGCACAGTAAATAGGCTCTTTAACACACCTTTATTATATATCCTCCTGAGAGGAACTCAGTACACTAACTCCTAAGATGTTCCATTACTATAATTAATTAAAATATTGAAATCACAACACTGGTAATTACAAACGTAACCATTTCTCTTTCTATAAATAGTGCTTGTGTTGATGGATGCCATTTTGAAATACAATGAAATTATCTTTTTCAAAGCCACATATTTGGGGTGGGACACAATAAATAAAGCTTCGCCAGTTTATAACCGATGAAACATGATGGTATCAGAATAATCACCTACATGAGATGTATAGGATGCTACACAGGTCACTGTAAAGATAAAATGTCAGAAGAAATAAGCAAGATACATGATCTGTTTAATCGCCATGTAGGTTCTCTTTTATTTATCAGCATCAATCAATCAATCAATCAATCAATCAATCAATGTTTATTTATATAGCCCAATATCACAAATGTTACATTTGTCTCAGTGGACTTTACAGTTTGTACAAAATATCAGTATGACAATATGACACCCTCTGTCCTTAGACCCTCTGTCCTCAGACCCTCTGTCCTTAGACCCTCACATCGTACAAGGAAAAACTTCAGAAGAAAACCCACAGTTTAAAGGGAAAAATGGGAGAAACCTCAGGGAGAGCAACAGAGGAGGGATCCCTCTCCCAGGACGGACAGACGTGCAATAGATGCCGTGTGTAAATTGAAAAGATAATACATTTGCAACATAGGTAGTCCAAATGTTTGGAAATGCATGTGTGTATAATAGGAAGATGGATCCAGGACCACAGCCACGACTCAAGATCCAGGGCTCGCGATCCAGGACACAGGACCGCAGAATCATCCATGACTCCGGATCCCAGCGTATATAGACACCAAAAAGAAAGACATTTGGGGAAGCTGGGTTAATCGGAACATGAGAGTACACAGGTATAGACAGAGAGAAGGAAGAAGTAAGATGTCCCCCGACAAACTAAGCCTATATCAGCAAAACTAGGGGCTGAATCTAATCAGCCCTAACTATAAGCTTTATCAAAAAGGAAGGTCTTAAGCGCACTCTTAAAAACGGACAGGGTGTCTGCCGCCCGAATACAAACTGGAAGCTGATTCCACAAATGTGGAGCTTGATAAGAAAAGGCTCTGGCTCCCATTGTACTTTTAGAGACTCTAGGAACAACCAACAACCCTGCATTCTTGGAACGCAATGCCCTAGTAGGACAGTAGGGTATAATGAGTTCTTTAAGGTAAGATGGCGCCTGCCCATTAAGGGCTTTGTAGGCGAGAAGAAGAATTTTAAATTCTATCCTGTGTTCTATAGGGAGCCAGTGTAAGGCAGCCAGAACAGGAGTAATGTGGTCCCTTTTCCTAACTCTGGTTAGTACACGAGCCGCAGCATTTTGAATCAGCTGAAGCGACTTGACTGACTTCTTGGTACACCCTGATAATAAGGAGTTACAATAATCCAGCCTTGAAGTAACAAATGCATGGACTAGTTTCTGCATCGTTTTGAGGCAAGATATGCCTGATTTTTGCAAAGTTACGTAGATGGAAGTAGGCGGTCCTTGAAATTGATTTTATGTGGGCGTTAAAGGATAAATCCTGATCAAATATAACACCAAGATTCCTTACAGTCTCACTGGAGGCCAAATTAATGCCATCCATAGTTAGTATATCCTTAGATAATTTGTTTCGTAGATTCTTCGGGCCAAGTACAATAACTTCAGTTTTGGTCGTGTTTAACATCAAAAAGTTTAAGGTCATCCACGTTTTTAAGTCCTTGAGGCAGTCTTGAATTTTATTTAGATGATTAATTTCATCAGGCTTGATTGATACATATAGTTGAGTATCATCCGCATAACAATGAACATTTACAGAATGATTCCTTATAATATTGCCTAACGGAAGCATATATAATGTGAACAAAATAGGTCCGAGCACTGAGCCTTGTGGCACTCCATGGCTAACTTTGGTTTGCGTGGAAGATTCATCGTTGACACGTACAAACTGAGAGCGTTCAGATAGATAGGACCTAAACCAGCCTAAAGTAGTTCCCTGTATGCCAACTAAGTGCTCTAGTCTTTGCAATAAGATATCATGGTCGATAGTATTAAATGCAGCACTGAGATCGAGCAAAACAAGAATAGAGACACGTCCCTTGTCAGAGTCTATTAGAATGTCATTTGTGACTTTAACCAGAGCTGTCTCTGTGCTATGTTGTGTTCTAAAGCCAGACTGAAAATCTTCAAATAAATCATTGTTTTTTAAGTAATCACACAACTGTTTTGCGATTGCTTTCTCAAGAATTTTTGAGAGGAACGGAAGATTAGAAATAGGTCTATAGTTGGCTAAAAACTCCGGTGCTTAAACAAATAGCTCTCCCGGCCGAAATGTCCCTAAAATGAAGTCCGACTTCGAAATATATCTCAAATAATGTATGCACTGCCATTTCCCCACATAAACATAACAGTTTGCAATGAAACGTCTGTCTCCTATGCACTCCACTTCCTACTTGGCGCACTGGTAACTTTCTCCTTCAAACAAGTTACTTTCTCTCACTCTTTTTCATTGCCCTTTAGGGGCTTCCTACAATACAAATACAAATATTTTATTTTAGAAAGTAAAGTCCTTTCGAGTCATCTGTCTCAAGCCTAAGTCAAGTCTCAAGTCATGAATACCAAGTCAAAGTCATGTCGAGGATTTTATCAATGTTAGTCAAGCAAGTCCCAAAGCACAAAAATATGCGAGTCAAGTCATGTGACTCGAATCTCCCACCTCTGGTATTTACTCTGGTTAGAATGTTGCTCTTACTGTATCTAATATAATACAAATATAATAAACACAAACGGTTAGTAAAACTAGTATTTTGTTAACTCAAGGTTTATATTAAGTGAGTTTTTATTGTGTTAACTGTATGTATTTATGCTTTTTAGATTTACTTTCTCTCTTTCTTTGTCCGTCTGTTCTAGAAACTGAAAGGAAGAGAGAGACGTCACAGCTGTCAGCAATGTGAAAAATCCTTTACAACAGCTGCACATTTAAAGTGCCACCTGCATATTCATACAGGAGAAAAACCGTACAGCTGTGAAGAGTGTGGAAAAACATTCAGGGAATCAGGTAATCTAAAAAAACATCAACGTATTCACACTGGAGAAAAACCGTACAGCTGTGAAGAGTGTGGGAAAACATTCAGCGAATCAGGTAATCTAAAAATACATCAATTTATTCACACTAGACAGAAACCGTACAGCTGTGAAGAATGTGGGACAATGTTCAAGACATCAAATGAACTCAAATCACATCAACGTATTCACACTGGAGAAAACCCATACTGGTGTGAAGTGTGTGGGAAAACGTTCACTCAATCAGGTGATCTCCAAAAACATCAACGTATTCACACAGGAGAAAAACCGTACTGGTGTGAAGAGTGTGGGAAAACGTTCACTCAATCAGGTGTTCTCCAAAAACATAAACTTATTCATACTGGAGAAAAACCGTACAGCTGTGAGTTGTGTGGGAAACATTCAGGGAATCGGGTAATCTAAAAAAACATCAACGTATTCACACTGGAGAAAAACCGTACAGTTGTGAAGAGTGTGGGAAAACGTTCAATACATCAAGTGATCTAAAAAAACATCAACGTATTCATACTGGAGAAAAACCGTACTGCTGTGAAGAGTGTGGGAAAACGTTCACTACATCAGGTGATCTCAAAACACATCAACGTATTCACACTGGAGAAAAACCGTACTGGTGTGAAAAGTGTGGGAAAACGTTCACTACATCAAGTGATCTCCAAAAACATCAACGTATTCACACTGGAGAAAAACCGTACTGGTGTGAAGAGTGTGGGAAAACGTTCACTACACCAAGTGATCTAAAAAAACATCAACGTATTCATACTGGAGAAAAACCGTACTGCTGTGAAGAGTGTGGGAAAACGTACACTACATCAAGTAGTCTCCAAAGACATCAACGTATTCATACTGGAGAAAAACGTTTTCTCAAAGTTCTCACCTTAAAGTCCACGAGCGAATCTACACCGCATAGTTTTGAACAACTATGAGATCCAAGCTAGCTGTTTCCTCCTCCTGATGTCCTGAGAGCTGTATTGTTATATTTGAAGAGTCTTTCTGAATTGAAGTCTGACTAACAGACTTCAATTCACAGAGTCAGTCTCGTTTGATGTCCCTGGACAAGCCCTGAGGTCCTCTTCAGCTTTGTAAATATTCCTAAAGTCCTCCAAAATAAAATGGGTGAGGCTTTTATCCACTACGCTCCCAAACTGTGGAACACAAGGAAATATCAGAGAGGCTCAGTGGACATTTTTAAACGCCTTCTAAAGACACATCTCTTTAGATTAGCTTTTTATTAGCAACCTCCCACTTTAAATGGTCTTTTAGTCTTTATTATTTACCTACTTTTATATTGTTTCATTTATGATATAGGAAGGGTTTTATCTTATATTCCTTATTTAACAGTTTCAGTAGCAACATTTATTTTTACGTTGGTTTCTTTATATTTTAATCGTTTAACCTTTATTAGAATGATGTCGTTTTTATTACTATTCATTTGTATTTGTATTTCTGTTGTACCTATATGTTCACTTTATTTTATAGGGTTTTATATTGTTGCATCTATTCACTTCTCTTGTGTCTTGTTTTTTTCTCGAGACAAATCATAATTTAGTTTTCATAATCCTTCTCCTCTGGGCTGCTTGTGTGACGTGTGCAGCATGTGTAGTGTGGTGTCTCTGTGTGAGACCTGTTAGTTTCACTTGTTCATTGTTAGATGTGCTTCAGTTTCTTTGTGCATTGAGTACTTCAGTCACTTTCTTTTAGGATAAAGTTGTCCTCAGTTCATCTTAAGTTTGTTTTGTAAATTGGCTGGTGAGCCTTCTTCCTTTAAAAAAAATTAAACTACTAATTTTGCCAAATCAGTTTCCTCTCTCCCGGTTATTTTAATATTTTGTTACTTCCCTTTGTACCCCTAGTTTAGGAGGGAACGTAACACTGTATTTAATTTGTTATTATCATACGTTTTACCTCCTTGTGTATCTTAACCTGTTAACATTTTATATTTAGCTGCATGTATCTGTAAAGGTCTTAACATCTGAGGGGACTTTCTTGTCGTTTATTGAACTATGAAGAAATGTTTTACTATGCCGTGTATAAACCATGATTTTCTTATAGCCTTGTTATTCCATCTATAAAATATTATATATCCAGGGTTAAACTGCTAGCCTCGTTAAGCTGCAATGATAACATTAACATAACATTCTGCAATGAAACGTCTGTCTTCTATGCACTCCACTTCCTACTTGACGCACTGGTAAATTTCTCCTGCAAACAAGTTACTTTCTATCACTCTTTTTTTTTCATTGCCCTTTAGGGGCTTCCTACAATGCAAATGCAAATATTTTATTTTAGAAAGTAAAGTCCTTTCGAGTCATCTGTCTCAAGCCTAAGTCAAGTCTCAAGTCATGAATACCAAGTCAAAGTCAAGTCGAGGATTTTATCAATGTTAGTCAAGCAAGTCCCAAAGCACAACAATATGCGACTGAAGTCATGTGACTCGAATCCCCCACCTCTGGTAGTTACTGTGGTTAGAATGTTGCTGTTACTGTAACTAATATAATACAAATGTAATAAACACAAACAGTTAGTAAAACTAGTATTTTGTTAACTCAATGTTTATATTAAGTGAGTTTTTATTGTGTTAACTGTATGTATTTATGCTTTTTAGATTTACTTTCTCTCTTTCTTTGTCCGTCTGTTTTAGAAACTGAAAGGAAGAGAGAGACATCACAGCTGTCAGCAATGTGAAAAATCCTTTACAACATCTGCACATTTAAAGTGCCACCTGCGTATTCATACAGGAGAAAAACCGTACAGCTGTGAAGAGTGTGGGACAACTTTCAGGGAATCAGGTAATCTAAAAAAACATCAACGTATTCACACTGGAGAAAAACCGTACAGCTGTGAAGAGTGTGGGACAACATTCACTAGATCTAGTCATCTCAAAGCACATCAACGTATTCACACTGGAGAAAGACCGTACAGCTGTGAAGACTGTGGGACATTGTTTAAGACATCAAATGAACTCAAATTACATCAACGTATTCACACTGGAGAAAAACCGTACAGTTGTGAAGAGTGTGGGAAAACCTTCACTACATCAAGTGATCTCCAAAAACATCAACGTATTCATACTGGAGAAAAACCGTACTGCTGTAAAGAGTGTGGGAAAACGTTTACTACATCAGGTTCTCTCGAATCACATCGACGTATTCACACAGGAGTAAAACCGTACTGGTGTGAAGAGTGTGTGAAAACATTCACTACATCAAGTGATCTCCAAAAACATCAACGTATTCACACTGGAGAAAAACCCTACTGGTGTGAAGAGTGTGGGAAAATGTTCACTACATCAAGTGATCTCCAAAAACATCAACGTATTCATACTGGAGAAAAACCGTACTGCTGTGAAGAGTGTGGGAAAACGTTCACTACATCAAGTAATCTCCAAAGACATCAACGTATTCACACTGGAGAAAAACCTTACAGTTGTGAAGAGTGTGGGAAAACATTCAGGGAATCAGGTAATCTAAAAAAACATCAACGTATTCACACTGGACAGAAACCGTACAGCTGCGAAGAGTGTGGGACAACGTACAAGACATCAAATGAACTCAAATCACATCAACGTATTCACACAGGAGAAAAACTGTACTGGTGTGTAGAGTGTGGGAAAACATTCAGGGAATCAGGTAATCTAAAAAAACATCAACGTATTCACACTGGAGATAAACCGTACAGTTGTGAAGAGTGTGGGAAAACATTCAGGGAATCAGGTGATCTCCGAAAACATCAACGTATTCATACAGGAGAAAAACCGTACAGCTGTGAAGAGTGTGGGAAAACATTCAGGGAATCAGGTAATCTAAAAAAACATCATCGTATTCACACTCGAGAAAAACCGTATTGGTGTGAAGAGTGTGGGAAAACGTTCACTTCATCAGGTGCTCTCCAAAAACATCAACGTATTCACACTCGAGAAAAACCGTATTGGTGTGAAGATTGTGGGAAAACGTTCACTTCATCAGGTGCTCTCCAAAAACATCAACGTATTCACTCTGGAGAAAAACCGGTACTTTACTGGTGTGAAGAGTGTGGGAAAACGTATTCTCAAATTTCTCACCTTAAAGTCCATGAGCGAATCCACACCGCATAGTTTTGAACAACTATGAGAGCCAAGCTAGCTGTTTCCTCCTCCTGATGTCCTGAGAGCTGTATTGTTATATTTGAAGAGTCTTTCTGAATTGAAGTCTGACTAACAGACTTAAATTCACAGAGTCAGTTTCGTTTGATGTCCCTGGACAAGCCCTGAGGTCCTCTTCAGCTTTGTAAATATTCCTAAAGTCCTCCATAATAAAATGGGTGAGGCTTTTATCCACTATGCTCCCAAACTGTGGAACATCAGGAAATATCAGAGAGGCTCAGTGGACATTTTTAAACGCCTTCTAAAGACACATCTCTTTAGATTAGCTTTTTATTAGCAACCCCACTTTAAATGGTCTTTTAGTCTTTATTATTTACCTACTTTTATATTGTTTCATTTATGATATAGGAAGGGTTTTATCTTATATTCGTTATTTAACAGTTTCAGTAGCAACATTCATTTTTACGTTGGTTTCTTTATATTTTAATCGTTTAACCTTTATTAGAATTATGTCGTTTTTATTACTATTCATTTGTATTTCTGTTGTACCTATATGTTCACTTTATTTTATAGGGTTTTATATTGTTGCATCTATTCACTTCTCTTGTGTCTTATCTTTCCGAGAGAAATCATAATTTAGTTTTCATAATCCTTCTCCTCTGGGCTGCTTGTGTGACGTGTGCAGCATGTGTAGTGTGGTGTCTCTGTGTGAGACCTGTTAGTTTCACTTGTTCATTGTTAGATGTGCTTCAGTTTCTTTGTGCATTGAGTACTTCAGTCACTTTCTTTTAGTAGAAAGTTGTTCTCAGTTCATCTTAAGTTTGTTTTGTAAATTTGCTGTTGAGCCTTCTTCCTTTTCAAAAAAATAAACTATCTACTAATTTTGCCAAATCAGTTTCCTCTCTCCTGGTTATTTTAATATTTTGTTACTTCCCTTTGTACCCCTAGTTTAGGAGGGAACGTAACACTGTATTTAATTTATTATTATCATACCTTTTACCTCCTTGTGTATCTTAACCTGTTAAAATGTTATATTTAGCTGCATGTATCTGTAAAGGTCTTAACATCTGAGGGGACTTTCTTGTCGTTTATTGAACTATGAAGAAATGTTTTACTATGCCGTGTTTTAAACCTCCTCTAATACCTCATTCACACCAACGCAACTCCGGTTCAAGCTCCGTGCTAGAGCTTTTCAGGTTCCGGTTATTCGGTTTAGCTCCGGCTCTTTTCACACCGCCCAGAGTCCGACTGGTGCATTGCGTCATTGTTTGCGTCATGACGTAACCGTTTGCGTGCCTGCTTCATAAAGCCAAAGTGCGCGGAAACCCCTCACAGCTCACACCGACAACAACAACAATGGCAGATTATGTTGAAGCGCTATTGGTTTTGCTCTGTCGAAATGAAATGGAAGACATGGGACGACTTTACTACCAACTTTACAGTCGTTACATGCTACATTCAAAACTACTTTACAATCGTAATCATCAACTTCAACGACGATTCCCATTCCGTAGGAGAAAGAAGGTAAATATATGTCCTATTCGATGTTAGAGCTAGCTGTTGTTAGCCTCTGCATGCGCCAAGCTCAAAATACCCAGCTTTGCTAAATTAATTACTATGGTATAACATTCAAACTGATTCTCAATGTTATTTCCACTGATCATGTTGAAGCTGGCGGAAAGGCGGAGGTCGCGTGTTATTTGGACACAGCCCAGATCTTCCAACTGGTAGAACACCATTGTTCCAGACTTCTCCCCTCTGCAATTCATGCAGAATTTCCGCGTGTCCAGGCAGTCCTTTGACTACATCTGCAACCAGGTCAGCGGCGTTATGGGGAGAAGAGACACAAATTACCGTCTGTGTATACTCAATAAAAAACGGGTTGCAATTGTCCTCTGGAAGCTGGCCACCGGAGGTGAATACAGGACCATCAGCCATCTTTTCGGGGTAGGCCTAAGGACCGTTTGCCTCTGTGTTCAGGATTTCTGCAGGGCAACCATTGAAGTGCTGCTTCCACTACATATCACATTTCCTGATGTGGAGAAGTTGGTGGAAATGGCCACTTTTTTCAACAGACGTTGAAGAGCACCACAGTGTGTTGGTGCAATAGATGGAAGCCACATCCCTATTTTAGCACCCGAGATTATCCCAAGGACTATTATAACAGAAAAGGATGGCATTCTGTTGTTCTACAGGCTGTTGTTGATGGCAGGGGGATGTTCTGGGATGTGTGTGTTGGCGACCCAGGTAGTGTACATGATGCTAGAGTGCTAAAACAATCCAATCTTTGGGTGGCTATCAGTGATGGAGTGTTGCTAGGCCAAAACAAAATGACCATCTCTGGCTGTGATGTGGGACATTACCTGATTGGTGACCCAGCCTATCCAATGCAAATATGACTAATGAAACCATTTTCGGACACTGGGAGACTGACCAATGAACAGCACACCTACAATTACAGGCTGAGCAGTGCACGGTCGGTTGTTGAGATGGCGTTTGGAAGGCTAAAAGGAAGATGGAGGTGCCTCCTAAAAAGGAACGACTGCGAGCTGGAGCTCAGCAAAATATTGACAGTGACTTGCTGTGTACTACACAACATATGTGAGGAACATAGCGACAACTTCACTGACGATTGCCATGAACTTGTGTACGACCAACCCGCTTTACACCCCTTAACAGATAATGGTAGACAAGAAAGAGCTGATGTTGGATCCGCATTGATATTTCAACATGGGGGACCACTAATATTGCTGCACTTAAACCTGATATATTTTGTATCATGCTTCTTTTTTTTTACAATAAAATCACTGGATCAGACTTGAATTGTGTTTATTTTGTATACAAATCACAGAATGTAGATACAAACAGGTTTAGACTATAGTCTTAACTCAAATACACATTGGGCCAAAAAAATAAAAATGGGTACTAGTCGAGGGCCAGACTGGTTCAATGTTTATTGCAAAATGTATTGAAATGAACTTATTGCACATATTAAACCTGCAACTAACAAAGCTTAAATGATTGCCTATAAAAACATTACACATTAAATCAGTTGCATTCCTTTCTTATGGCTCTATCTGCAGCTTTTCCAGAGTAATTTCTGTGGTTTAGACTATATTCTTATAAATAAAGTGCATACCCAAATGGTTTAGACTATATTCTTAACTCAAATACACATGCCTATCCTTTTTTTCAATAAAATCAATGGATCAGACATATCACTTTTGAATTTTGTTTATTGTACAAATCAAAGACATGTATGGACAATAATTCACCAAAAAGTGTGTCGAATATACTATAATAATAATGTGTATACAAAAAAAGAACGTGTATACAAAAAAGGTATGAACTATTTACATAAAAAAATAAGGTCAGCTTTTGTTGTTGGCCTCCATCACCAAGCATTGAGTGGCTGTTCAGCTCGATTCTGGTGAAAACTCGTAGGAACTCAGAATTGGCCCCATGCACCTCCTGAAGCATCGCCTGGCCCTGCTCCTGAAGCCTTTCCTCCCTGTCGTCACTTTTCTCCAGATACTCCAGAAGGCCAGATGATAAATCCTGCTTCCTTTTAACTACAAAAAGAGAAAAATAAAGTCAACACCGTATTCATGGCATTTTATGAGATGTATATTATATACTGTGTAATGAAATGTTGTATTGTTATTATGGCTGCAGTTGCATAACTTGAACAACTACTACAATGACTATGCCATGATAAATGCACAAGGCAACAGGGAACAGTATTACTATTATGACCACTGTAAACCTTACCCTGTCTGTGTCTGCCCACTGGCTGGATTAGGTTCACCAGAGATTCCTGGGAAGAGCTGCTTGTGGGGAAAAGGAGACTCTTGCATCCGCATTGGCGAGCTACACGCCGACGGCAGTGGTGGTTCCGACACAGTACACTCCAAACCAGATATTTCTGTCAACACAATATAAACACAATGAATCATAAATCATTAGTGCGAAGAAAGAAGATACATTGGAGGCGTTAGCTGTCTTTGCCATGGGGATACCTTTGTTTGTTATTGTTAGCATTAGCATGCTAGCGCTATTATTGGTTTGGATGCACATCCGGTAGCTGTAGTCAACTTTAGCTTTATTGCCAGGTCTGTCGATAGCTACATGGTTTAGTTTATGTTGTAAAACAAAAAGTCACAAATAAAACAAATGGGTAATGCATAACTCACCGGCATCAAATGAGCCCCGCACATTCAGCGACTCGTCCTGCAACATAATCGACGTGAGAGAAAGTGAGTTCACCGTGGATTCAAAACCACTCGTCGGTCTGTCCCAGAGGACCGAGTCTAGCAAGTCATAATGTGGACTTGTTTTCGGACGACCGCTACCACTCCGTCCGAGGTCTCGCTTTTGGTCCTGATAGTCCTTCTTGACTTTTTTTGATTTGTTGCCAATCTGTTCCACGGTACCGGAAAAACCAGAGGTTGCCATCTCTTTCTGCAATTGTTCGAGAATTGCTTTGGACTGCGTGCTCCCCTCCAGCTTCTTCTGTACCTCTTCGGAAGACCAGATTCCCAGTAGGTAGCTGGTCTCTTCAGTGGACCACTGCTGCTTGTTAAGTTTCTCCATCGTTGTGTACAAACTGGATAAAACGCAGGCTTTTTGTTGTTGTTCAGGAGTTGGTGTGAATGAGGTATGTCTCAAGCCTCATTCACACCAACGGTGTTTCAGGGCCGGTTCGGAGCTTGAAAAGCACCGGGTTTTCCTGTTCACACCGCAGTGGAGCAGCATCTTAGCTCTGGAATCTGGTTCGTTTCGAGCACCAACATTTTTTCCGGCCAGAGCTAAAGCACCACATACGTCACGCTTACGTCGAGGCGGGGGCAGGGGCGGGATCAACTCCTGAACAACAACAAAAAGCCCGCGTTTTATCCAGTTTGTACACAACGATGGAGAAACGTAACAAGCAGCAGTGGTCCCCTGAAGAGACCAGCTACCTACTGGGAATCTGGTCTTCCGAAGAGGTACAGAGGAAGCTGGAGCACAATCGGCCATTGTTGTTGTTGTCGGTGTCAGCTGTGAGGGGTTTCCCCGCGCTTTGGCTTTATGAAGCAGGCAAGCAAACGGGTACGCCATGACACAAACGATGACGCAGCACCAGTCGGACTCTTGGCGGTGGGAAAAGAGCTGGAGCTAAACCGAAGAACCGGTTCTGAACCTGAAAAGCTCTAGCACGGAGCTTGAACTGGAGTTGCGTTGGTGTGAATGAGGTAACAGAGGCTCTCAGTTTCTGGGGGAGTTCATTCCATAGGGGCCACCGCCTCAAAGGCACGGTCCCCCTTAGTTTTTAGCCTGGTTCGGGGCACCCTTAAGAGGCCTTGCTCGGAGGACCTCAGGGCCCGGGTTGTCCTGTGAGGGTGGATAAGGTCGTTAATGTAGGCGGGGGTTTGGCCATGGACAGCTCTATATGTGTAAACTAATACCTTACACTGGGTTCTGAGATGGACAGGGAGCCAGTGCAGGGCAGAAAGGATCGGAGTAATGTGGCATGTTTTTTTGGACCGAGTGAGTAATCTGGCTGCAGCATTTTGGACCTGTTGTAGCCAGATTATTGTTGCTTTTGTTGAGGCAGGAGAACAGAGCATTACAGCAATCAAGCAGGGATGAAATAAAGGCATGGATAGCCATCTCCAGTTCTGCATTGGATAGAAACCCCCTGAGCTTGGCAATGTTCCTGAGGTGGAACAAACAGGTACGGGTCAGGAGTTTGATGTGTTTGTCTAGTATCATAGACTGATCGAAGGTTACACCAAGGTTTTTTATGTTTGCCCTAACGTTACCACTAAATGAACCCAGGTGGCTTGCTACCTTAGAGGCGATGTTATCAGCCGCTGAGATCAAGACTTCCGGTTTTCATGCATTGAGCT